CCACAATGCTATGGAATTATGGGAATTGTAGTTTTGTGAGACATTTAGCCTTCTCTGTCAAAAAGCCCTAGTATCACAACAAACTATAAATCCCAGGATTCCATCGTATGGAGTCATGAAAGTTAAAGCGGTGTCAAACTGTGTTATTTTTGCAGTGCAGATGCGTCCTGAGAAACAGTGACCTCAGGTATATCCACACAATCAAATTAAAGCAGTCTGACACAATATTAACTGCCATGATTCTATCCTATAGATGGGATCTGTAGCTTGGTGAGGCACTAGAGCTCTCTGACAGATCAGGCTGAATACCTCACCAAACTAAAAAACCCAAGATTCTGTAGGATGGAGTCATGGCAGTTAAAGTGGTGTCATATGGCTTTAATTCAGCAGTGTGGATACATCCGTCCTGGGGCAGAGAAGAATCACATTCAGCTTAGCATGCAATGTATCTGGCTATGGTGCAATGATATGGGAGTTGGGGTGTGTCCTGTACAACTTAAGAGTATCCCAAAAAATGACTGTGCTACACACACAAAATTCCTACAGAACTTCCTCAAGACAAGTCAGGCATGAAAAACTGCTCAGTGCAATGTTCTGCCTACGCTCTATAGAGTAGAAGGTGGCAGTGATAGGGAAGTATGGGAAAGGATTCAAGAGCTCTTGCAAGTGGCTCTTACACAGCATGAAAAGGACTGTGCATTTATGGACAGCGTTAAGAAGACCACAATCAAAGTTGGTAAAATTTCGACAGCTCACAGTCCTTCAGGCAGTATAGCAACACCAGAATTGCAGGTATGTTATTTGTTGTAGCAAAAACAATCAGGACGCCTCTGACAACAACATGCAAATGTATTGTTGCATTAGTTTCAATCTTTAAAAAAAAAGACTTTGTTGTTTGAAATAAGCACATTGCAGAGTAAAAACTGCACACATTATAATATATATTACACCAAATACATAACACTGAGAGCTGTTAAGTCTACATTTCAACTCCCATGTCTAACTAAAGCAAATTATAACCATTAAAAAGGATAAGAGATATAAATTATATTTCCCTCGGAGCATGGCACCCTCAAAGACCCTTGTTTGTTGTGGAAACAAAAAGGTCTTCATCTACCTTTGAAAGGAAGCAAGAAGGGCATCAATCTAAATTCCCTAGGAAGGAATTAGAGGGGGGGG